AACCAGTTTTTTAAAACCAGTAGGGGAATGGGATCTGTTATAGTAATATATCAGGTTTTTCAGGGGAACATCAGGTCACCCCCCCCCCCCCCCCCTCCTCTCCTCTCCTTCCCCCCTACGTCATCTTCCTGTACCAATGGTACGATGATAATGATCATCAAGTTAGATGTTAATAATCATCATATCGTTGTTAAAGTTTGATCTGAGTAAATAAGTTTGAAGTCGAATTTTTGTCAGATGATGTCGTCAACTTTGATGCATTACGTAATACAAGATCAGTAACTATTGTAGTCAAGTATTAAGACGCAGTTGGTAATAGCTTTAGGCTACATGAAGATGACATCAATATTAAACGACGAATATCTCAGAAATATTTTCACATGTTTTTAGTTTTTAGCGAAATAATAATAATATTTAAGACTGTCGTTTTTTAAAACCGTCGATATCAATCATAATTTGAACGAGTAAGTTGTATTAAATAATAATAACTGATAGATTAACCCTATCAATCATAGAATATTATAACCACAGAAGTTAGGGAATATATTTAAATAAATTGTATCAGTGGCGGCTCCAGACTGCGGGGGAGGGAGGGTGGGTGTGGGTGGGTGTTCTTAAGAATAGGGGGCACAAGGCTCTCACATTATTGAGCGTCCTTAAGAAATATTTTGAAAACAGAATTGATTTGGTGAATTCTGACATATTATTAGAATTCATGTTCTTAAATTTCTTAGAAATGAAATGAAGCGCCCCCCCCCCCCCCCTCCACCACCCCCTGTACCCCAACTGGTGCCGCCACTGAATTGTGTCAGTAGAAATTGAGATGTAGGACTCAGAATATCAGAATATACAGCGTCTCGACCAGTGTCAATATTAACTAATGAATACTAAACGTGATATATCGTCTATTTTCTAACCATTGTTCTCACTCTAAACTATGTACAAATGTTATTTTTACAGTCATTTTGATACTTTATGATTTGATTTAGAACAGTAATTTCTTGTTAATGGTAGATTATTCGGATGAATTATTTTATTGGTATGAAATGGAGTTGTATGTCTTTATTCATTGTATAGAAACAATGCCTTTCAGTGTACAATGGGTGAGCCAATACAGCTGTTCCAAGTAGCCCACGTTTTTCTGATTTCTGAGCTGTTTTTGGACTTGTGATTGGAATGGTAGATTATCATAATTGATATGAAATGGAGTTGTATGCTATGCTGCATAAAAAGGCAAGCAACACCATGCCGTGTGCAATGGAGGAGCCGATGCAGAAGTGCTACAACTCGTACTCAAAGCGATACATGCATGGGATGTTGGGCTCCGATTGTCACCTTACTGTTCCGTTTGTGATGTTAGAAGTTACGACAGACAAACCGACGCCACGTGAGCAACAAGTTGTGCGCCTTAAAGATCCTTCGATAATTGGAAATGGAAAATTGGGCTAGTGCCGCTTTCCTAACGAACTTGTCCCTCATTGCTCACTGCATGACGTATCTCGTTTTCATTAGCCAGACTGGATACAGAAGAGTAAGATGTAAATCTCTCTTCATTTCATTTTTACGACAATCGAGTTCAACACAGGAAGAAAAGTTTGTTCCTAAACGAAACAAGCCGTAGAAATTTTATTTTTGTTGTCAATAAAAATTATTAAATTATATCACAAATTCCCAAAAAGGGGAAAACAATTAAATCTATATTATTGTCCTGTTATTTGACCTTTCGGCTTACTGCCTTCTTCAGAAACACCCAAAATAGATCTCCATCACATCTTATTCCTTTTTTTTTACTATGAAGAAGGCAGTAAGCCGAAACGTCAAATAACAGGAAAACAATACAATACAAATTATATTCAAAGATCAAAGTGACTGAACACCTTGCAGACAGTCATATGATTTATAACTTGTTATACAATTTGTCATACACTAGTTTTATTATTGCACTAGTAATATTAGGCTATGATGTCTAAATTGAGACTAGTTTGATATTATATCTTATCATAATGCATTCATACTGCCCCTCGAAACTCGACTACAAATAATAGATATAGCAGACGATATTTGAATAGTTATTTTCTGTTGACAAAACGAACTCGATGTCTTCCCATAACCTTTTTCTCATAACCCCTTCCCATAACCAGACCCTTACCCTACCATGACCTCCCTTCTCATACTCCCCGCCCCTCCCCATACCATAATCGCCTTCTCATACCCCCCTACAATAAACACCTTCTCATACCACCCCCCCC